GGTGACCCTGAGATAAAGGTCAGAGTAAAAGGGGTTTTTTTACTGTTCTTGCTAGATGCTTGAAGGAGAAGCTAACTTAGAAATGCTCTAAGTTAAGTCTTTCTGGATGATTTGGATTTGACTGCTGAACTGAAACCAGAGTCTGGACTAATTGGGGAATTGTACCTTGGTACTGCTGGACTAAAACTTGGACTTACATTGGGTAATATTCTTTGCCTCTCTCACTCTCCAGTTTACTTCCCTAATAAACCTCATTCTCGGTACCACAACTGTGAGTTAACAATGAATAAACAAACTTCTTGCTGCTGTTGTGGCTCTGGAGGCACCATGGGGCTGGGGTGCTCTGGGCTGGTAAGGAGCTATGCTATTCTTACTCCCTATGGAGAGACATTCATGGCCCTATGCCTCCATGTACCATTTTTTGCTCTTTAGACAATGCACAATGGAAGGATGATTTTTAACTATCACTCTCTATGTTCACGCTGCTATATCCATGTTTTGAATTATATAATCAGAAAGCAGTATCAAAAAGAAAGGGAGGAAACTAATATGTTTTGGCTGAATTATCTTCCTCCGTACAAAGCTAGATATTTATAACCTTAAGAATTTAATGTCGGGAGATCCAAGATGGTGGTGGAGGCAGAGACAGCGTGGTGAGCTGCAGGAGCAGCAAACCACTTAAAGCAGGGCCATTATGGCCTTCCACAGACTTCGGCTTATTGATAATTGAACACTTAAACATTGATGACTGGCCCTCAGTGAAAATCGAGGCTCAACAACAGGAATTCAAGGATTCCCAAAGAGAAATGGGTGAGTCTCGTGGCTCCCAAGCCCCCTGCAGAGCCCTCGCCGAACCGCACAGCCGCTGCAGCTCCATGAGGCTTCCACAGCCAGAACAAATGGATTCCCTCACCCAGGATGGATGCTGGTCACCGGCCCTCCTCAAGACTGGTACAGTGAAGACACCACATTGCTGCAAGATGGACTTGGTCTGGAGAGAATTCTTGGAGCCAGGATGGCAGCTGTGGGGGAATCAGGCACTCGCCAGCCGCCCGCACAAAAGGGGCCACACACCAGCCGAGCACCCGTGAGGCAGGGTGGGGGGGGCGCACCCCCAACTGCCGCCCACACTGGGGGGGCCGCGTGCCTCCCACAGGCCTCCTGCGCTGTGGGGGGGCGCCCCACTGGCCACTTGCATAGGAGGTGGGGGATGGGATGCATGACCACCATCTGCAGGTTTGGGTCTCCTTGGACAGGCCAAAGAAGATGATTACCTATGCATTGGACAGGCCAAAGAAGATTACCGATGCATTGGATAGGCCAAAGAAGATGATTACCTATGCAATGGATTGCTGAAAGTCACTGTGAGTCTGATGACCTTAACAGTGGCAGCATGCACAAGAGGACCGACATCCTAAATGCACCACATATTTTGTTCTGTTGAATGCTTCTGCCAAAAGATGGTTAGACCTGGGGGGAGTCTGTTCACAATTCTCAGGTTCCCTTTATCATATATAAAGGGGGAGGGCAGTGACACCTACTTCAAAATATAATATGACCACTTATGGGGGGGTAAAAGTGGCAGTGCTGGAATTGGAAACACTATCCCTGACCACAGAGTTTTTAGTCAGGCAAGGGGACCAGACCGGGGTAGGGGCAATTGGAGGGGGAGTATACCAGCCAGATCCTGGGGGGTGTTGCCCTGCTCGGGATGGGCTGCCCTCGGCCCCGGGCTCGGAGCAAGCCATCGTGGCCCTCTGCCCAGGGCGGGCTGCCCTCGGCCCCTGGCTCAGGGCGAGCCATTGCGGCCCTCTACCTGGGGCAGACTGCCCTCGGCCCTCTGCCCGGGGCGGGCTGCCCTCGGCCCCCGGCTCGGGGCGAGCCACTGCGGCCCTCTGCCCAGAGCAGGCTGCCCTCGGCCCTCTGCCCGGGGCGGGCTGCCCTCAGCCCTCGGCTCGGGGTGAGCCGTCGCGGCCCTCAGGGCGAACTCCTCAGTCCCCAGTTTGTGCCATTGTCCCCAGACTGACCCCTGGGTGGGGAAGGAGGGAAAAATGTTACCTAGGCCACCTTCTGCCACCCTCCCCCCAAGTAAACCTGAAAGCAACACCCCCAAAACCCTTCTATTTGTAACTCACAATTTTGTTCTCTCTAGGTTTGCTCCCTTTCCTACAGGTAACCTTAACTCTGAGTTTTACTCCAGAATTGACCCTGAACCCAGTGCCAGTGACAAAAAGGAAATACAACTGACAGCTAAGGAAGCAAAGGAGGATGGAGCCTCTGGGTTCAACCAGCCATCCCCACTGGACCCACCTGGGAAAACACTTTGCAGTCCAGAGGGGAACAAATGACAGGAAAATATCTTCTAACAGAGCAAGAAGGCAAGCAGCTTTAACCCAAGACAACCAGTAAGGTAATAGAGTGTCCTCCTTTCCCCCCTTTACATCTACGCCCCTGCTCAGCATGAAGAAGGCAGAGAGTCGGCATCCAATTCCCAAATCAATAAGACAGTTGGTTTAATTACCATTGGGAAATGCTTGTCATTCCTCTGTAGTATCCGGTCCCCTCTGGACCCTCATCATTTCCTTCACCTGCTCCCCCCACAGACCAAGCTGTGCAGCTCTGCAACTGCATCCTGGCCCATCCTCACCCTTCTGCCCCCAACCCTCACCTCCTTGTACCACCAATATGTTTTTCCCAATAAAAAAAAGAAGGAAGAATTTAATGTCATCATTGGTTTCTAATAAAGCAGTGATATGTGGCAATGAATATGCAGTGATAAAGGAGTATAGTAAAATATAGGAAAGCACAGGCTAGAGCTTCAGATGTACTCAATATGAATTAAAGCTTTACCACTTATAAACTATGTGCCCTTGGGTTTGTTACTTAATCATTGAATGCTCTCCTTATGATGACAGTTTTGGCTTTTTGTTGTTAGGTGCCACCAAGATGAGTACACCTCAGAGCTACCCTATGAACAGATCTAAACCCAGTCCTATTCTGTGTCATCCTCATCATCTCTGACACATTTGAACCCATTGTTGCTGTCACTGTGTCAATCCAACTCATTGAGGATCTTTCCTTCTTTCACTGAACCTCCACTTTTTCAAGTAAATGTCCTTTTTCAAGGAGTGTCCCTTAATTCATTATGAGGTAAAAATTAGGTAATAATCTAACATAGCAAGCAAATTTTTTAATACATGAGTATTTTTAAAACTTTTGCTAAAATTATTATAAGACATTATCTTATTGAACATTTCCATATTCTTTATAAAATCTTGGCTGAAGGCACCATTTATTATATTATATAAAATAGATTCCTTAATCATATAGGGAGAATTATATAACCAATTACATTTTAGTTCCAGAAAGAAATCAAAGTAATTTACCATAATAATTTTTGTTCTGCCTTTTCTAAAGCAACTTTTTGTTTTGAGTTTATTTTTACATTTCTTCTTTCATTTTGTGTTTAACTTCATAACTTATGGTTCTGCCTTTTCCAACAGAATGACCATACAGAAGCTATTTACAATTTAAAGCTTCACTTTCTTCATCTTTTAAATGGGCATTGTTGCGGACATCAAATACACTATCATCTCAGTATTTCCTTCTTAATACCTATTCTTTTGCTTTAGCTATAATCTCTTGAGAGCCATAATTTGAGGCCTAATCTTCTAATCATGTACGATTTGTTTAGAAGAGGGCATCTAATTCAAGTTGGGCCAGGAAGACTCTTGAGAAATTTTAAATTTAGTACTGAAAGTCAGGCCAATTTCCTTCCAGTAGCTGAGATAAGAAGACAAAAATTTCAGGATGTTTTTCATTTATGAGTCAGTCCTTATGAAAGAAAAGAATGACGTGAAGATCCAGGAAGGGGGAAGAGAAAGATTCTTAATGGTTGTAATGGTTCCTCAGGTCTACCTATTCCCATAGTTTGCCTGTCACATAAGATGACCGGTATCCTTCAAAAAAAATGCCCTTTTAGAAAACTGTTTAGAAGGGATATATGATTGGGTAGTATTGTCATGACAGGAGTCCAGAATGAAGGCTGCACAGTGGAATGGACTTGGGGGAAGGGATTGCATAACAATGAAAGAGTTCTTTTACTTTTCAAGCAGAAGAGTGAACTGTGGGTTAGGGGGTGGACAGGGAGAAAAGTGCAGCAATGAATGAATAGAAACCCTAAGTATCTGTAAACTTTCATTAAAGTTAATTAAAAAAAAGGTAGGTTGGGAGAAAAAATATCCTTTTAAAGTAATTTAAGTTATATTTCTATAATTTAAAACTAAAATCATTTAGAATGATTTTAGTTTTACAAGCGCTTCTGAATGTTTGTTATAAAAAAGTAAATGAGGTAAAATAATCAACTGCTTAGCATATGAAACAAATAAAACTCACTGCCATTCAATTGATTACAACTCAAACTGACCCAATAAGACCCTATGAGGCCTTCAAAGTTGTGAAACTTTAAGAAGCAAACTAAATGATTGCTGTAACTACTGTTCATCAAAGCTCCTCTTCACACACCACGTGGCATATCATATTTGCTCAAAGAAATTATACATTTTAATAAATTATAGTATTTAAAGATAGGAGTATAAATTCAAAATAATTTAACTGGTATAATTGCAATGGCTTATAAATCATCCTTATTCTGACAATTTTAAAATCACCTAAAAGGATTCTTTGATTGTTTAAATAGCAAACTATAAAAAAATTGTATTAATTTATTGTGATTCATAACACTGTGCAAATATAAGTGAGATATTATTCAATGGTTAAATATTCTTAGAAAATAATGAATCCACAGGTCCAGCAATCCACAATGTCTTTGTTGAATAGGAATATAGCAGAGGTAGGCAGGAAAGTTTATATTTAGGTTATGTACCTCATAAACTTGATATTTATATGTAAAAAACAGTAGGTTAGCCACACTTACAGCAGTCTTCACATAGTATAAAACATGTGAGACAATAAATAAAGAATAATTGGAATCCACATACCTGTAGAGATACTACATTGACATTGTCAAAATGGATGTGTCCATTCGGTTCTGTGACAGCAGGATTCGCATAGCATGTCACACCATTCATGGCAGGTAACGTTTTGGGTTGGTGAGTCTTTTCTTGAGAAGGACCAAAGTCATCATTGGAAAAGTGGACATGATCATTCTACATGGGAAAAATAGAACAGAAGCAGAAGTTGTGAGATGATTCAATCAGACAAGAAAATTCAGTTCATTTTTATTTGTGAGAGAAAATGTTATGTCTATTCTATATTTATTCAATGTAATCTTTTTAGATGTCTAAAATGTCTCCAGTTTTAAACATATTCTTATTTACTAAATTCAGTTCTTTTTTATATTAGGGTAAACAGTTTATTATTTTGACAACTATTAATGGAATAAAAATTATGCACATTTGCAATTTTATGTTCAATGGTGGTTATTTGTTTAAAATTCTACACTTTTCATAAAGTTCATAGTAAGTCTCCATTGGCTTTCTGAGACAATACATCCTTACAGGAGGAGATTGTTCACATATTTCCTTCAAAGTAGCTCATTAATCCAAACTATCACCCTCAGTACCCTCCACATTATTATGCCACCATTATTTTGACTCTTTTCTTTCTCCTCATATTAAAAAAATTATTAAAAAGACTTTAATATCCTTCTAAGAATATGTTTATGTCTTATTTGCCTATATAAAATAACTTTTATTAGTAAAATAATAAATATATTAAGCCTATTTACATGACCGTATGTCTTCAGTAGCATCTTAAGCATTCTTTCGACAAAGAAAAGTATATAAAATCCACCAAACACAGCAACTGCTTTCTCAACATAGTTGTCAACTTTGGGATTGAATCCAAATGCCTAAAAAGGAGAGAGATAATTAAACTAAAATAATTTAATTTGATTTCTGAAAAATAACACCATATTTTCTCAATATACATTTTTATCAAAGCTCTAAACCCATCTTTGTATCCAAGTAATACTGAGAGTTTAACCTGCTAAAATGAGAAAACAAAAATCTCTGAAATTTAAATAGCAAAGTTCTAAGTATAGCAAATGAATCTTATTAATCAGCAAAAGCTCTACTAAATAAAGTCACCAAAGAACCGTACAATATCCTACTGGTAGCATCTATAGAAAATACCTTGAAAAGCAAATATTTAGCAGTAAACAACCCTGATTCACTTTTTAGAGGATGTTATCAGGTCTACACAATGAACAAAAATGAGATGCTGATAATACACTTTTTATAAAAGCAATTCATTTGCATGTCATACCCAAAGTCAAATTTTTAGCATAAATATAGTAGGCCCTTTGAATTACTATTTTTTTTTTTAAAAAAAAAAGTATCTCTTAGACCTACTGAATCCTGATGAGCCCTAAAGAGAGAAATAAGAATAAAATAAATTTAAAAAATTGAGAGTACAATCTAATATACACATACAATGATCAAATCTATAAAGGATACAATGGAAAGAGTTTGGGGTTATAATAAATGGAGTTATATTGAGTTGAGATATCCCCAACAGACAAGAAATATACATTTAATATAAACAAAACAATAGAATAGCATGTAAAAAGTCACAACTTTGGGCCATCTCACACATTGCAAATCTCTTCAGAACAGCAGTCTGATATAGAGCCTGCCTGGGTTTTTGTTCTGTTTTCCTCTGGTTAGATCACACAATTAGATCTTTCTTTGAGTGAGTTTTGTCTTCACACAGTGTAAAAATAGAATAAAAATATCTACTACATACATTTAACACAGATGTTGGAAATAAAATTAAGTAACAAAAGGAAATTAAATTTTGCCCACCACACCAACCCTCTCAAAAAAAAAATACACAGAAAGGGTGAGAAGATAACTCAGCACTGGAATTGGAAACTCACGGTAACAATGGTCTTTCATTGCTTATGCAATTCTGTGATAACTTCCATAATTCGTTTATTATCACAGGAAGGAAAAAAAATCCAGAAATGCTTACAAAGAGGTTTCTTATTCCCCCGCCCCCGGAGATACTTGCAACAAAATAATAACTTCAAAATTATAGATATAAAATCTCCAGTCCATATTCAATATAATTTTAAATTAATTTGACCCATAAGACAAATAGTATATATAAATATTTACATGCATATGTATTTACATTCATATTGATTCTATGTCTAATGTATGAAATATGGGCATTCAAATCAGAATAATTTTATGGTAGTCTCAGCTTTGTTACCAGCTTACTGTATGACTTACAGCAAGTCATTAAAACCTTACATACTTCAATACTTTTTCATCTCTAAGACAAAGAGTTTGTAGTAGATGTTCTCTTAGACCTTTTCTGTATCAAATAATTAACAATAATAATAATAAGGGCCATATCTAAGAAACCGTATGCCCATTTTCATGCACAGCTATGAAAACCAAGAAAATTTAGTTCTAATTTCTAAAAACAGTAAAATAAGGTTTGTATTCCCTTTTTGAAATGTTATTCTCTCTTGATTCAGGGTTTGTCCCTCCATCTTTAAGTATGCATGGGGGCAGGAAGATACTGTCCATGGGCACATGTATTTTTCTAAGTATTGACTCACAGCTCTCCCTCCAGTGGATTTTCAGAGGCTCACACAGGAGGAAATTATCCATTTTTACCCTGTGGAGCCAGTAGTAGATTCAGACAGCGTGTAGTTAAGGAGGCAGCATAATTCTGTATTTACTAGGCCATAGCTCTAATAAATAAAGAAATTTTGTGGTATAACATCAGTAAATTTTGTGCTACATCACAGTAAAATTTGTATCCTCTTTAAAAATTAAATATATAAGTAAACAATGAAACAGCATGTAGAGAAAATTATTTCCCAAGTGCAAACTGGATTAAAGTTTGACAGCATTCCAAGGTGTCCCTGAGCTGTCTGATCATATACTGGGGGCTGGCCTTCTCAAATGCTAATTTTTTTCTTCGACACTGATATCCACTGCAGTTTGGGACAAGCTTTTATATTCACTGTGATTCACTGTTCTTTTATTCAAAACACTATAAAGTATATCATAAAGCGTTATGAAAATTACATATCTAAAAATGTTTAAGGCACTAGGACATTTTAAAAAGCAAAAACCACAGAAACAAATAGTCTTACCTCTGGGATAAGCTGAAAGATGGCATTTGAAAACAGAGTCCCAATAGCTAACCCTACAAAATAAGTCAAAATCTTCGGGAAATATGGTTTCTTTATCATTGGAGTCAAAATCAGTCCAAGAAGAGATGCCAGATTGATAATTGTCACTGACAGGAATCCATATCCCCAAACTACAGGACGGAAGGAAAAAGAAAACAGACATTAACCAACTCAATTGTCATACCATGAAGTTTTCTGCTTTAAGTTTGAAACAAATATCTTCCTTAAAAGCATGAAGCTGATCTCTTCCACAAAATAACATTTTATCTCTAAGAATAATAAAGAAAATGAAGAACCTAAACACTGCATAATAAAAATTAATAATAATACTGACTCTAGGGAGCTCTGGTGGCTTAGTTGTAAAGAATAGCACTGCCGACCCAAAGTTACATGGTTCAAATCCACCAGCTGCTCTGTGGAAGAAAGAGCAGCAATCTTCTCTTGTGTGATTTACTGCCTCTGAAAACCTGGTGGAGGGTCAGCTATGGGTCAGTTCTGTCTCAATGGTACATAACAAGCACAACATCAATGCTTTAATAGACTCTAAATCATCATTGTGGAATCAAAGAAAGTGAAAGCTGAAATATTGACAAGCAGTTTGAGGCCAAAGTTTCCAGATTACATTCAGCCATCTAATTCCATCTTAACCCAAGATCTTGTCTTTTAAGGACATATATACAGAGATAGTATGAGTTTTAAGAGGGTTTAGCATGAAAAGTGGGAGGTGGAGAAGGAATAGGTTGGGTTTTTTTTGTTAGCTATGTCAAGTATTACAGTGACATTATGAATAATAGATCTGAACCTTATCCTATCCTGTGCCAACCTCACAATCTCTGACACACTGAAGCCCTTTGCTGTGATTCCTGTGTCACCCCACCTAGCTGAAGGTCTTCCTCTCCTTTATTGTCTCTCAACCTTTCCAAGCATGATGTCCCTCTCCAAGGAATAGCCTCTCCTAGAAAAATGCCCAAAATATGTAACAGAAAGTTTTATCATCTTTGCCTCCAAGGAGCACTCTGGCTGCACCTTTGTCCCAGATGGATGGGTTATCTTCAAAGTTTGACTTAATCACTTCTCTGTGCAGGCCTGTGCAGAACACCTCCTGGGGAAAAGTAGCACCTTAGCTCCCACCTGGAACTTTAGTCACTTCAGTGCAATGAACACTCAAGAAGTGAGCACGTAGGGGCAAGCAGGTGTGCATATACCATGCAGGTCACACTATCAATCTCAGACTAAAGCACAAATACCTTAAGCAGAGGAGACCCTGGTGATAGAAATCTTACATCTCTCTAGTCCTAGGATCTGATACTCCATTGGTGCTTAATAAATACTGCACTGAATGAAATGAAATGCATTCTTCAGCAAGTGCCATGTATAAAATTTTGCTTTGGAATTCTACTACCCTGTCATCTGTATTTCTATTTTAATCTCTCTTTCCTATCCTTCTGCTGTGTTCTCTCCTCCTCCTCCTCCTCCTCCTCCTTCTTCTTCTTCCTCCTCCTCCTTTCTCTCTCTCTCTCTCTCTCTCTCTCTCTCTCTCTCTCTCTCTCTCTCTCACTTCAATACTGCAATAAAATTGATTCTGATCCAAAATGTTCAAAAGCAATGATGTCAGTTTAAAGACTAAGGTGAACCTTATCCACACCATAATCTTCTTGATTACTTGTTTTGAACTTGAAAGTCGAATAACAAAAAAAAAGGATGATAGAAAAATCAATGCATTTGAGTTGTAGTTGGAGAAGAGTACTAAATATCTCATGGACTGCCTCAAGTACAAATACTGGAAGCAAGAAAACTTCATCTCACATACTTTGGGAATGTTGTTAGGAGGGGCCCATCTTTGGAAAAGGGCATCATGCTTAGGAAGGTGAAGGGTCAGTAAAAGAGGGGGAAACCCTCAACAAAACAAGACTGACACATTCACTGTGGGCTTGAGTATGTCAGAGACGGACCAGATGGCACAGGGTTCAGATCCACTGTTCACAGGATTGCTATGAGTCCTGGTCAGCTTAATGACACTTAACAACAAAAACAGCATGGTAGCCCCAAATGTGTCAGAGTAGAACTGGATTCCATAAAGTTTTCAGTGGATGGATTTTTCTGATACAAGTCATCAAGCCTTTCCTCTGAAGTAGCCTTGAAGTTGACTTCTGAGTAGACTTCAGCTTCAAATCTTATGGTTGAAAGCCAATTACGTTAACCATTTACATCACTCAAGGATTGTCTCATTATCACAAAGGATCTGACATACAATGAAAAGGCAAGTGAAACCTACTAAGTGAATCCAGAACTACTGCCTATGGTAATACAGACTAAGACATAATGTAGATTCAGGGGTTATCAGACATGTAGCCTTCCTGTGACCAAACACAAAAAGCACAATATGGAAAGTTAGAAAGCTACCTCTGCATTGCCACTGCTTTAAAATATGCTGAAAATAGTCTTAGAGCCATTTTTCTTATTAGTACTGATAGTGTTATGTACTAGTAATAACTAATGTGAAATGAGTGTAGGCACTATGTAAAGCAATTGAAAGGTAATATTTCTCTTGATCCTTATAAAACCCTGTGAGTTAAAATCTACTATTACCTGTTCCCTGTGAGGAAGCCAAAGCAGACGGAACTAAAAATCACACAGACAACTGTACTTTGAACCCAAACTGTCTTGCTCCAGCGCCTACATTATAAACAATACATTTTATTACTCTGTAGAACGAATCTAACTGCTAAAAAAGGCCAGCATACTTAAAAAAAAAACCACAAAAAACCAAAACCAAACCACTAAACATTTTATTCTAAACGTTTTATACTCATGAATCCAACATTTCTCACCACTATTCTTGTCATTCTTGTCTGAAAGTCCCTCTACAGGGAAACAAATTTAGCAAATGCCTATAGAATCCAGGATGTTGACTAAACTACTGATTCCTGACAACAAAGAATTTGTGATTTGGCTTGGGTATCCAGGAAACACACACACACACACACACATCAATACAATGTAGCACACACTAAGTAATAAGTGAACAGCACAGATAATAAATATTATTATGTAGCCACAAGAGTGATTTTATCTTCTCTAGACATTTTTGGTCAGTTCCAAATGCCTGGTCATGACCAAGTTATCCATTAGTCCATGTCATTATTCTTTCTTATTACCTTCTCACTAAAACAATGTAACACTTTCTCCTCTAATGTTCAACTTCATTTTCAATCCTGTATATCCTTCATTGTATATCTACATGTGATTTCTCTTTATACAAACACTGTTGCTTTGTTGTTAAGTAAGAATCAACTTAAGTTGTTAAGAACCAACTTTGTTGTTAAGTAAGAACACTCCAACAGGGTTTCAGAAGCTGTAAATTGCATGGAAGGAAATTGTCCATCCTTCTCCCATGGAGCAACTAGTGGATTTGAACCTAATGCTTTTAGAATTGCAGTGTAGACTAGGCCACTAGAGTTCCCTAATCAGCTTCTGATTTCTCTTTGTAAAAACTCTGTTGTTGTTGTTGTTGTTATGTGCCGTCTAGTCGCCTGCAACTCATAGCGACCCTATGTACAATAGCCCTAAACTCCGCTCTGTCCTGTGCCAATTGCACTGTCTCTGACACTCCCATCCCAATTATCCCAGTCACTGAATCAATCCACCTCATAGAGAGCCTTCCTCTCCTGCGCCTTCCCTCCACCCTCCCAAGCATGATGTTCTTCTATAAGGACCGGTCTCTCCTCACAACATGTCCAAAGTAAGTTAGACGGATCCTCAGAATCCTTGCCTCCAAGGAGCCTCCCGGTTTAACCCTCTCCAGGACAAATCTGTTCGTTTTCCTAGCAGTCCATGGTATTCTCAATATTCTTCTCCAGCACCACAGCTCAAAGGCATCATTTCTCCTTCTATCCTCCTTGGTCATTGTCCAACTCTCTGATGAATAGCAGGTGATTGCGAAGACCATGGCCTGTATCAGACGCACCTTAGTCTCCAGAGAGACACCACTGCTCTTCAGCACTTTGGAGAGGTCCTTAACAGCAGACTTTCCCATGGCAATGTGCCTTTTAATTTCCTGGCTGCTGGTGCCAAGACTGTTGACTATGGAGCCAAGCAAACTAAACCTGTGTACAATCTCAATCTCTTCACCATCCATCCTGATGCTGCCAATTGGTCCAGTGGTGAGAATCTTTGTCTTCTTGACATTGAGCCTCAATCCATATTGTAGGCTGCAGTCCTTGACACTCTGCAGCAGGTGCTTCAGGTCCTCCTCAGTTTCAGCAAGCAGGGTTGTGTCATCTGCATAACGCAGATTGCTGATAAATCGTCCACCAATCTTGACCCCACATTTCTCCTCATAGAGCCCAGCCTCCCGGATAATCTGTTCTGCATATAGGTTGAAAAGGTATGGAGATAGGATGCATCCCTGGCGTACGCCCTTCCCAATTTTGAACCATACAGTGTTCCCTTGCTCTGTTCTGACGACTGCCTCCTGGTCCAAGTATAAGTTTCGCATTAGAACGATCAAGTGTTCTGGGATTCCCATTCTTCTCAGAGTCAGCCACAGTTTGTTATGATCTACACAGTCAAATGCCTCTAGTTTACAAAAATTCAAATATTTATATCAATCTCTTTATGCAGGCAATGTATACACACTTGAAACTAAAATTTAAAAATATAGTCATTTTTTAGTATCAAAAAACTAAAGCCATGTATATATATCTTGATTTATTATCCTCCTTCATCATCTCCACAGATATCAGAAACAACAGGATCAATTTTTATTCCCCATTCTCTCTCAGTCAATTCCTACAGATTAGTGGCCAGGACCTATCATTTCTGCCTTAGAGATTTCTCTTTATTTCCAGCTTTTCTAACTTCATTGTGTCTAGTTCAGACCCTTATCATCTCTCAGTCCTTCCTCTGACTCATTGACAGCTTTCATCATTTCTTTCTCCCCTTGATTAACATGACCACTAAACTTACTAATGCATAACACAAACTTGATAATCTCATACCTCTCTTTGAAACCACTCTTCAAAAACTAAGTCCCACACAGACTCCCCAGTTTTTATGCTCCCCTATCCCCAAGCATAGCCTTTATCCTGACACTGTGCTTTCCAAACATCACTGACTTTGCATTGCAGCT